GAGGAGGTCTCCCTCGCCCAGCCGCGTCCTCCCGCAGCCGCAGGGCGCCCCGGTCTCCAGCTCCGTCGCCAAGGCCATGGCCCGGGAAGCCGCGCAGAGGGTGGCGGAGAGCAGCAGGGTAAGGCTGGCCGTTCCCTCGCTGGTTCCGCTGCACGGGCTGTGTGGATTGCGCTCCGTCCCTCCAGCCCCCCGGGATGGGACACCCCACCAGCACCCGCATCTGCGAAGAGAAGCACCCAGGGTGGCTGCCCTGACCTGGGGGGAAGAACAACTGTTTATCCTCCAGTTCCCCCCGAGGACTGCGGTTTAGGCCTGATCCTGAGGGAGCCACACTGTGTTTTTGTGTCGTAAACGTGGACCTGGATAACCAGAGGAAGTGGTTGTCTCCCAGCCTAGTTTAGCAGACAGGCTGCGAGCATCCCACTCACTGGGCGTTGGTCTGTGTCCAGGGATCCATGAGGTGCCTCCTAGGACCTGTCCTCCTAAATGAGGCTCCCCTCCTGGCTCTGCCCATTTGAGGCATACACATAGGGATGGACGTATTTACACACGTGTGTATGTACACACATGCGCACAGACGTTCACACACGTGTGTATGCAGACACGGTCACACACAGAAGTGGATGCACGTGAATGTGTCGGCGTGCCTGTCCCTGGAGCTGTCTGGGCCGTGGGGGAGGGCTGTCTGGACGGTGGTGGGGCCGTATTCCAGGCGGCAGGGGCAGTGACACGTGAAACTTAAGAAGCATCTACGAAGGAAGCCTAGGAGAGCAGGCTCTGGAGCTGGGCGAGGCCCTGTGCCCCTCCCCCACCTCTTCCTCGGGCGCGTCCATCTACCAGGGTACCCCCCAGCCTGTGTGCTGCAAGCCTGAGGTCAGGGCCCTAGCAGGGGGACAGTGGCGGCCAGTGGTCTTCTCAGCCCGGCCATCCTGAGTCGTCTCTCTGGGGCAGTGACCCTGCTAGTGCCTCCTCTGAGATGCAGGTGGAGAGATACCCAGGCCGGTGCTGGGAGACCCCCACTTCCTGGGCATCCCTGGGGCTGGGCCAGGCCGGGACCTGGGGCACGCAGGCCACGGCCAGGACAACTGGAAGGGATGAGCCTGCGGCAGCACTCCAGTACATGCTGGAAACTGGAAATCCAGGCTTTGATGCAAACGCTCCCAGTTTGTCAGCAGTTAGACAGCACTGTGTGCCCTCAGCTTCACAGTATGCATGCCTGCCATGGGCCCGCGGCCCCTGTGCTCTCGTGGCCCACAAAGCAGGAGTTCAGGCTCAGTGCTTCTGGCGAAGCCTGTGGGCAGGAAGGGGCCGGCGGGTGAGCGCTGCCCCCTCCCCTTTCAGGTGGCAGCCACACATCCTGCCACCCTGAGGCCCCCAGGCAGCACCCCTGAGAGTGGGATGAAGTCAGACACTGGGCCCAGGAAGGCCCGGGGCTGCTGGCCCTCCAGCCTGGCTCCTCTTCCAGAAGGTGTGCAGGGAGAGCAAACATCTGAGCTTCCGTTTTCAGGAAAGGGTCACTGATCATATCAAGAGTGAGGCCAAGGTGACAACAGAGGAAGAGGAGCTTTTCCTTGGCACCTGCGCGTCAGCTCCCGCGAAGGCCAGGGCTAGTTCTGGGGAGGGCGGGAGGCCGGCTCACCGGCAGCCGGTGCACTGGCTCACTCAGCCCGAGTCCTGTGACCCTGGGGCTCCGAGGCGGCCAGGGGCTGGGGGAGGGAAGGACGCCGCCTGGAAGACAAGGAGCCTGGAACCCCGGCCCCCTCCCCCGCACCTCCCGACACCTCCCGACACCTCCCCTCACCCGTCTCTTTCCTTTCTCTTCCAAGTTAGAGAAAAGGAGTGTCTTCCTGGAGCGGAGCAGCGGGCAGTACGCGAACTCCGACGAGGAGGATGGCTACGAGTCCCCCGACGTCCGGAGGAGGGGTGCCTCGGTGGACGACTTCCTGCAGGGCTCCGAGCTCGGCAAGCCGGTGAGAGGGCTGCGAGCCCCCGCGGGGCGGTGCATGCCGGGGCTCGGCCGCCTCAGGCCCACGAGCCCGAGGGGGAGGTGCAGGCCCGGCTTACAGCGGTCGTGGGTGGCTTGGGGAGTTTAGATTTCACAAGGCCTGTGCGTTTGTGACCTCATTTGGGAACAGTTTCAGAAGTCTCACGATGAGGCTTTCCCCCACCGACGGCCCTGCGCGAGTGTCCAGGGGGTGTCGGGGTGACTTTGTGGCTCAGTAAGTCTGCAGGTAACTGCCTGGTCTCAGTTTAGGCAAAACCTGTAATGTCTTTACTCAAGTTAATCCGGCGGAAGTTTGTGCGGCATCTGCTGCATGCAAGACGTCATGAGGGGTTCAGAAATTAAACGGTCAGCATCCTGCCCTCAGAGGGACACTTCCCCTTCCAGACTAGGCCCGCGAGTGACAGATGCACCCAGGGTGGGTTTTGTCTCCAGCGTTCCGCTCACGCACCTGCTGGTAGAAATGTCCTTGAGTGGTTTCAGGACCTATCACTGGACAGCAGGAAGGTTGGGGCCTGGAGAGTCCTGAAACCTTGAGACGTCAGAGCTGGAAGACACCTCAGTCCCTTCAGCACCTGCCTCGACAGCCAGGCAGGGACTCAGCCTCTCCAGGAAGAGGGCCTTGGACCCTCACAGACTTGGGGTCACTTCCTGGCTCTGCTACTGCTAGTAGGCAAGATACCCAGCTTCTCCAGTCATCAGGTTCGATAAGATTAAAGTAATTGTATTTGCATTAGCTTGCACATGAGAAACAGAACAACCAACTAACAGTGACGAAGGTGCCACAGACGTTTCGCTACCCAGCATCGTGGGAGGTCTCGAAGTTTACAGGGTTGGCTCCACTGCTCAGTTGTGTCTGGGCTCCAGGTTCTGAATCTTCCGTTCTTTTGGCCTTTTTCTCATGGTTACAAAGCAGCTGCCATAGCTCCAACTGTCACATTCTCCTGTGACAGCTCCCCAAGAAGGAAGGGGGAGGGAGGGGTGAGAAGAGGAGGGTTTCTCCTCAGGCACTTCCGTCTGTTAGAAAAGTCTTTTCCAGCAGCTGTTCTTAATCCACACACAGCAGAAGCAGCATCTTTGTGCACGTAGGGCGTGCAGCCGGCGTGGGGTGACACGGGCCGTGCTGAGTGATGGGTGCCCATGTGGTGGGGGCCGGGACCCCTGGCTGGGGGCCATCCCGTCTTCTCAGATCCCCATCGGCTGCAGAGGCTTTGGCTTACACACGAGCAAGCTGCCCTCTCTTGCTCTGCAATCAAACCTTTCGGCTGCACCCGGACTTCCCCGCGTGCGCCCAGTGATGCGGTCTTCCCCAGGCTGTTCTGCAGATGCCCCGGCGTGTGCACATGTGTGTTTCCAACTCCATGGCAGTCCTAGGACTCCTGAGTGTCCCTGTGTGGTGCACACGCACCCATTCGCCACCCCAGCACCCTCTCCTGCACGACCCTAGGCACAGTGTACGTGCTCCACAGGTCCCAAGCCTGCTGCCACCTGAGTTGCAACCTCTGGCTTGATCCTTTGTCCAGCCACTAAGTTGGAGGTGCTGATAGGACCCAGAAAAGTGGTGCTTCCCCATGTGTCTCGTAAGCTCCATGGTGCCATCCTGCCCAGAGCCCAAGGGCCTCTGCCCACTCCCGTCTGGCCTTGGGAGTTGGGAGGCCGGGTCTGGTCCTCTCTCTGCCACCCCAGCTCGCCGCGTGCTGGGAGACCGTGGTTCCCTCACCTTTAAGGCACGTGGCTCATGCAGACATCCAGACACTGTCCCAGCCCAGAGCTGGCAAAGCCAGGGAGGCCCTGTCGGGGGCTGCCCCTCCACCCGCGTCCCATTCTCCTGCCCCAGCCGCACTGTGGCCACGGAGATGACTACCACACGGAGAGCAGCCGGGGGTCTGACCTGTCCGACATCATGGAGGAGGACGAGGAGGAGCTCTGCTCTGAGATGCAGCTGGAAGACGGGGGCCGGCGGCGGCCCAGCGGCGCGGCCCACAACGCTCTCAAGGTCAGTGCGCAGGGGCACCGGGTCCCTCCACGCCGGCCCTGCCGGCATCCCATCCCCTCCTTTTTGCTGGGGCGCCAGGCCAGCCCCAGAGGGGCCTTGCCCAGCAAGCAGAGCCCGCAGACGTGGGTGGGCTGCTTTCTCACTATTGAATCTGCACTCGGGCTCTCCCCGGCCCTCCTGTCCCTCCTCTTTGCCACAAGCCTAGCTGAAGGAGTCTGGGAGAATCCAGCTGGCACTTCCCAGGGACACCCCAATTTGTACTACGAACTGAATTGAAAAGAATAGAACAAAGACTGGCGCGTGGGGGACCAGCTGGGGCCGTGAGGAGGCCCCGTGGTGGGGTGAGCCGAGGCAGGCCCTGCCGGGGGCTGGGAGAGGGGCACGGAAGGAGGTCAGAGGAGGGTCGGCCGTCCTGGAGGACAGGGGGGTCCACACACAAGCCCCTTTCCAGGCACCTCCCACCAGAGACAGATCCTGCACCCTCTGCTTCCGCCTCTGGTGTGGCCGTCAGCGGGGGTTTGGTTGGGGGGGTCACCTTAGCAGAGACTGAGCTTGAAGAAGCCGCCCTGGGTGTGCGTCCTGGTCCCCTGGGAGTTGTGCTGCCACGGCTGCTGCTGGCCTTTCTTGCCGGACGTCTGTTCGCCCGGCACGAGCTGGTCGCGGCTGGGGGTGAGGATGGACGTGGCCCCTGCCCTGCAGCTGCTCCCAGCCTGGGGGGTAGACAGACAAAGGGCAGGAGAGCTGGTGCGGCCCACGGGTTCTCAACTGAGTAAGGCCTCGGTGGGGGGACCCTGCTGGGGCTGCCGCGCCCGGCCCCAGGCCTTCTCGGAGGACGCGGAGCCGTGCGTTTTGAATGGTGGACAGAAAGCAGCGCCCAAATCTGGCTACCAGTTCGGTGCCCACTTGCACAGAGCAGACTGACTCCGTTTTCCCAGCAGAGGCCCCTGCAGGGCCTTGGAGACGCTCCGCCCCCAGAGAGCATGCCAGGTCGCTATGCAGACCTGCACGGTTGCGGCTCCTGCTCCTCCCCCTGCCCTGGCCACCCGGAGCCACCGTCCAGCAGGATTCACAGGGACCCTTCTTGCCGGAGGGAGGCCCCAAGCTGCCGGTGGTCCCGCCTGACCGGCCACTCAATCCCCTGCTTCCCCAGCTGCCCGCAGGGCTCATGGCGGGGCTGGTGAAGCGTGTCAGCTTCCCTCCCATCCTCTGGGCGGGGGCCGCTCCTGGGGTCGTACTTCTGTGGATTGTGTGGAAAGAAGAGGGCAGGGAGAAAGGCCAACCCAGCCGCACGAGCACCGCCCTGGCCCCAGAGCAGCCACGGGGAGGTCAGAGCTGCGGGGAGACGCAGTCTGGGGGTCCGCCCTGCTCCCTCGCTGCCTGTTCCCCGACACTCCCCAGAACAGACATCCATGAGAGAAGCATGTGCCGCCCGCCTCCTTGCCCGGCACTCGGGGCCCCAGGCGCTCAGCAGGTGCTGCTGCACCAGGCAAACTGCCAGGTCCTGCGCGCAGGGCTGCGGGCTGGCGGGGCGGCGGGGGCTGCAGACCCCAGAGCTCCTGTGCGCTGTCCCCCACGGTGCAGCGCCTCTCTGACAGGACGAAAGGCAGGGCTTGGCTTCCTGGAGTCCGCGAAGAGGGACTCCTGGTTCCACGGGAGCAGAGGACTGGGCCGAGGGAGGTCCCTGCAGAGAGAACCACATGCAAGGATGGGCGGGCAGTTGTGTCCACCCCTGACGTTCGTCAGGCCACCTCTGGGTGGCTGTTCCCAGGCCGGGCCCTGCAGCCCATGCTGGCGGGGGCGCGGCTGCTCGTTCAGGGCCTGGAGTCCAGGCGTGCCAGAGGGACAGACGTGGATGGAGCACAGACCTCCTAGGACCAGGATGGGGGCTCAGCGCCCAGGTCCCCAGTTTCACACGCTCACACCCAAGCCAGGGAGAGTGGTGGTAGGTCAGCAGACCAGACTGGATGTCAGGGGGTGCCGAGTGCTGGGATGACCTCCAGCAGCGAGGGTCCTGGCGGTTCAGTTGGGTCACTTTTGTGAATTGTCTTCAGCCACCAGCACCCCACAGCTGCTGCCTTCTGAGTTTCTGAGGGTGCAGCCAGAGGGTAGTGGGCTCAGGTGCCCCGCCCCCGTCCGGCACAGCCGCCTCGCAGAACCCAGCGCCTGAGTCACCGTGAAGCCTCCTGCGCCCAGCTCCTCGCGCCCCAGCTGCCGCTCTGTCCTTGGTTGAGCTGCATGGCTGTCCCTGCAGGTGGCCTTGGCCCCTGCGTGTGCCCCTCCCCTGCCCCGGCACATCCGCCCCACCCATTCTGTTCTCATCTCAGAGCCTGGCCAGCGCGTGCCATCGCCCCCCATGGGTACAAGCATGCTTTCCGCCCCTCATCGCCTCGGAGACTAATTCTGTCTGTGTTTTCTCTCCTTCCTCTGCCCGCTTCATGTCTGATCATACGCTGTTTCCTGGCACCCGTCCTCACACACCGCCCCTGTCAGGAGTGCCCTAGGAATAGGACCCCTGAGGCAGCTTTCTTGGAACTCCCCGGGTACCCCCAGCACACCCACCACAGTAAGAAACTTTTCAGTATCCCCGAAGTGGCGGAGGAGGACGCAGAGCGCTGCGAGCTCTCGCACAAGCAGGGCGTAGGGCACTCCTCCAGGGCCAGCGTGCCCAGGTTCCCCGCAGAGCGCAGGGCCGCCGGCGACTTCCTTCTGGAAGACAGAGGCTGTCGGTTCAGCCGCTCGGCCACCCGGAGCCCAGACAGCGGCCTGGACTGTGGCAGTGAAGAGGAGGAGCTGTGGTTCAGCTTCCGAAGCACGGCTGCCCCGTGCAGCGCGGGCCCCGGGCGCTGTCCCAGCAGGAGAGGCCCGAGGCCCCTGCTGGCCCGGCGCCGGACTCTGACCCGGCAGAGCAGCATCGAAGAGGACTTTGGGGAGCAAGAGGAGCCCGGCGGCGTCCCCAGGAGCGAGGACGCCCCCCCGAGCCCAGAGAGACCCCGCCCCGGCAAGTGCAGCTGGGAGGAGCCTGCGGGTCCCGAAGATGCCCAGGATGCCTGGAGGAAGAGCTCAGACGTGCCCGACAGCAGGGCCACTGCCCAGCACGCGCAGCCGCCCCCCCGGGTGTGTGACGTGGCCTCCCCTCACATCTGCCTGCCAGCCCAGTCCATCTTCTCACCCTGCTGGTTTATGTTGGTGTCCATCCTGGGGGTCTGCCGGCTCGCTTCAGCGCTCCGTGCATCTTTGCTTTATTCAGCTTCCATGTCTTTTGACCATGCGATGATTTCTTTTCTTTGCTTTAGAATAATGATTCCCCCACTTCCAAATCAGTGATGATTATGGCTGCTTTAATTAAAGGACAACTGAATCTAAATTTTAATTAAGGGTTAGCTGAACTACGATTATCCAGAAGTTTGGCAACACGTACTTTCCAAAACGAACCACAGGGCCTTACTTTTGACTTTATGGTGGGACTGAAGGTTTTTCTCTTGTTGTGGTTTTGGTTTTTTGTTGTGGTTGGTTTGGGCCTTTATAACTAGAAAAAACGGAGAACAGTTATTGAAGAGATTCGTTTTTGCCTTTGTTCCAAAAGGTTTGTTGTTTTTTTTTTCCTGTTTCTTTCCTGCGACCAGTTTTCAGAATGAATTTTCCATCATCAGCTCTAGACACATCCCGTGCCTTGTCTTCCAGGCGTGGTAGTGTGTTCAAGAGCAGGGACTCCCTCCAGGCTTCATTCATCTCCCTATTGTGTCCTCCTTCCTGTCATGCTGGACTTTTCCCTGAAAACACAGGTGAGACCCCCCTGGGTGCCAGGCCTGGGCCTGAGCCGGTGCAGTTTGCGACCTGGCCACAAGAGGGCGCCGGCCCCACAGGCCACAGCCTGTTTGTTCCCCGCCTGGAACACGCTGAGCACCAGAACTCCCAGCCCGGATTCATCCCCTGGCTCCCTGAAAATTTCCTGACTCCCAGCGCCAGGGAGCTGGAGGTTTTGGTTTGATTCTCTTTTACGATGCTAACCTTTAGTGCAGATCAGAGGTGCACATATCTGTGAAGCAGAGCCGCTCGGGTGACTATTGTGTCCGGATGTGGGCCAAGACGCTGCCCTGAGCGTCAAAGCTGACAACACACGGGAATGTCCGTCCCCGAGCTTTCGGGAGCCTCATGTACAGCTTTGTCCAAGCAGGGCGTTCGGAAATGCCGTGTTTCCCCCACTTTTGTGGTCACTGGAGGTGGGCAGGCTGCCCTGAGACCAGGAAGGAGGTGTATTTAAGCAACTCTCACTTTGGTTCAAAATATCTGGCTTCAGCAGCAGTAGCAGCAAAAAAGATGCCTCCCGGGGCTTCTCTGCCCCGCCCCCACGATCGCAGAGCAGCCGCGCGCAGAGGCGAGCGCCTGGACCGAGCGCTCCCCTCTCGGGCCCTTCAGCTAACCTTTCAGTTAAAAGCTACGTTTAGTTGCCTTTAGAGCTTGTGCTTCCAAGTGGGGTTGACTGGGCTGACTTGACCCTTCGGTTCCCACGGCTGCCAAGCCTTCTGACTTTGTTGTTGTTTTGTCTTCAGATTTTAGGAAACCCGGCGTCTGCAGGACGGGCTGGGAGGGCGGATCGTGTGGCCCGGAGGCTGTCCCGCGGCAGCGCTGGCCCCCACAGGTCCCGGCCAGTGATGGGCCTCGCTACCGGTCAGTGGGCCCGATCGAGGCCTCCCTCTTTCTTTTACCCCCAGAGCAGATGGCTGTTTGGTCGTCAGTCTGAACGTTTGAAAAAAAGATTAGGGATCATATTCTGTATTTTCAACTAAGTACAAAAAGTTCTTGGTTATTGATGGCAAAAGAGGGCAGAGACAGCAGAAAGAAAACCTATTTGTAAGTATTCTCCGAATGTATTGACCTTTTCCGTCAGCTTCTCCTTAACTTTGTTTTCCTGGAGAGGCTGCCGGTGGGAGCATTGAAGAGATGGTAAAGGGCCGTCCCGCGGGGTCCCGTTCACGCACTGCTGAGATGCCCATGGTGAGGGCAGCGGAGGCAGGGGTGGTGGCCGGGCTCCCGGTGTCTGCACAGGCCCCGTGCAGACGCAGAGCTATCCGAATGCGTGCAGCGCTTCGGCACCTGGAACTGAAGCTGTGAAAAGCACCAGGAGGCCCAGATGTGTCTCGGGAAGGGTGTGCTGCCCCCGTCCATCTGGTCACCCGCTGTTCCCAAGTCACCCTCTGGCGGCTGTTTCCATTCCCTTAATCACTTTTTGGAATTCAGCCAGCAGTGCTGAAAGCTGTCATTCTGCTCATTCTAACCAATCTGCCCGAGGGGAAGCGTGGCTGAAGGTCGGATGGGAATCCCCCTGGCCAGCACTGGGACCAACTGCGGCCCAAACAGTCCCAGACAGTATCACAGGCGGGACCACAGAGCCTGGCAGTCAGCACGCTCACACATGTGAGACAAAGCAGGGAACCGCAAAGCCCGGGGAGACCCGGAACACAGCCCCGGCCATGTGGGAGCGGCTCCGGCTCAAACGGTAGCTGGTCTCCGCTCACGTCAGCCAAAATGATGAAGGCCTTTTAAAGGCAGTGCAGGTCCCCCGAGGCTCCAAACAACGGGGAAAGTTTGCTTTTCCATCTTTATAGTTTTTAGGATGTGTTTATTTTTATCAGTAAAAATTTCATAGACCGTTAAAGAGTCTTAAAAACAGTATTTTCAGTTAGCTGAAAAATAACAAAACCTGCACAGGCAGGGAGGACGCTGGGCGCCCTCAGAGCGGGGGCGTCCCGAGCCTTCGTGGCTCCTGACGGCTGTGAGCTCGCACCGCCCCCTCAGGCCTCAGTTCCCCTGTGTGGTTCCCTCGGGGACAGCTGCACAGGTCGGGGCTGGTCCCCTGGCTTAAAACGGAAATGACGTGCCAGGACCGACCGTCTTTAGGAACCAGGTGGGGCCGGTCCGAGGCTGTTCCTCCTGTGGAACGTGGTCTCCAAGCCCTCACTTGGTTATGACTTTGACGAGTGACGACCACAGGCACTGCCCTCTGCACGAACGGCCCCTGTTCCCCGGTGGGCAGTGCACGTCGTGGCCCTGGAAGGGGTGTCCTCTGGGGGAGGTCTGGTGGCCGCCTCCTCCAGGCTCCTGGGACAGAGAAGGAAAGTCCAAGAATAGAAAATGACGGTGCTTCCCGCCGGCACCTGGACGAGGGAGTAAAGGCGGAATCAGTGTCTCTGAGTGCCCTTGGGTCAGGGTTGTCTTCCTCCTAGTGAGACGCCAGCCAGGTTCGCAGGAGGAGTGATGCTCTGCTAACACCTTAACAAAAGGCCTCTTTATAACTCAAAAAAGCACTCCATAAGCCCACGACAGGGCTGCCGCGACTGCGCCCGACCCCTTACCGGGCAGCAGGGCCAGAAAGCACACCGCAGGCACAGTCAGTGTCGGCTCTAAACGCGCATGCACGGCTCGCGCACGGACCGGACGGCCTGCTGTATTTTCGAAGGACGAGAGTGAAGTGTGTCCAGCAGCCACCAAAAAAGAGGAGAGCCCTGCCCCAGACCCGGGGGGTGGGGGGGGACAGCACGGTCAGCGACGCGCCAGCAGGCCGGTCTCGGCCAGCCCCGGGTGGTTATGCTTCCTTGTGCGGGGGCAGTAATGAACAGCCCAGAACTCGGCTGGACTCGAAAAGCACCCATTTTTTTCTCCAGAGGAACTTAAATCTGCAGACTGTATCCTTTCTAAATGTATTTTTAATAAGCAATGCATTCACAAAAAATGCTGTACCTTTTAATATGCTCTAGGTTTCCTCAGTTAAAAATAAAAGCCCCTCTTGAATCAAAAAGACAAAGATTATGTAGCTCCACACGTACCAGACTCAAAACCATGTCATCGGCGTGAGGTGGGGAGCGAGCGCAGGACCTCGCGCGCCGGGCCGCGGGCTTTACCTCCCAGCTCTCCCCGCCCCCTAGTTCACTGCATTTAAAAAAGTCAGTCTTTCCTGCGTGAAAAAAAAGTAGGCTCTTTTTCACCTCAGCGTGTCTGCCGGTGAAAGAAGTGGGTTTCCTGGCTTTTTCCCCAGCGCCTCTCCTGTCTTCCCACCCCTTGGCCTCTTCCCTCCTCTGTGCTTGTGAGCTGGTGACGAGTTTTCCCGGGCAGGCTGGCTTGTTCCGAGGGCTGGAGTGGTTCTCATTTACTTCCCACTGATGTTCTGAGCCCTCTCGTGAGGTCGGAATGGTATTCTCTGCTGGCCGACCCTCGTTTCCTAGTACAGACCCGTGGATGGTGAGATGTGCACGTGTCTATGATGATACCATGGGTATTACTAGGGTTTCAAAAAGCTGGGTGGTGGGTGGACTTGAAACTCGACTCTGCCAGGAGGCCGTTGGCTCACTGCAGTGACGGGTGCACTTACGGCCACTTAGTATTCAGAGCTGAGGGGGCAGCGTGGGCCCCGGTCTCAGGCTGCGGCCAGTGAGCGCGTGCACTGCAGACCTCCCGAGTGCCCGCCTGTTACAAGCACATCCTGGGTCTCTGGGCCTGACCCGGTGGCCGCCCTCCCGTCCCTCATGCCTGCTTTGCAGGGGTCACTGGCACAGTGTCCTTGTCTCCTGCTGCCTTCACCTGCCTCGTGGCTGGAGTCACCCTGCTGCCTGGGTTTTATATGTTACTTGCTTTTCTGAGCTATCTGTCGAGGTGATCATTCCCGCTTGCACAGTAAGGAATGTTTTTGTCTTTTCAAGACAAAAGTTAAAGTGCCAAATCCATTCCCCTCACTTTCCAAAACGCATTTCATGTGCCAGCGGACGTCCCCGGTCGCGGGTGGGGGATGGCTGGGTCGCGGTGCGGGGTGGCCGGCAGGCATCACCAGCACCTGTCCTTCACCCCACCCGCCCGCAGATGAATACAGGGGTCGCGGCCGGCTCTCCCCGGACTTCTACGAGGAGTCAGAGACGGACCCCGGTGCGGAGGAGCCGCAGGCGCGCA